GTTTGATAGTGATCCTGCATTTAAGGAGAAGGCACAACAGGCAGTGGTTCTTCTTCAGGTGATTTTTACTGTGGCCAATGTATACATGTTTCACAACCTTATTTAATGCTTATTTATTATTTTGGACCCTAGATCTTCATACTAAAAAAACTGTTTACAAACTTCTTTTCAATTGTCATTTACACTTACTAATTTTATTTTTGTCTGCTAATTTTCTACATGATGACATTTATTGTATGCTAAAATGTTTTTTCTAATATTTGCATGTTTTTTTATTCATAAGTACTTCTACTTCATATAAACATGAAAAATAAATAATAAAGTAACAAAATAAAATTTGGAGTTCACCTAAAGAGCCTCCGTTTGTGTGTTGGTTTTGACGGAATTTTGTAACAACTCATTCGGTCTTATTACTATAGATTAGAGTCCATTTTTGAATAGTTAGAAGCCCGGCTCCCTTGCATGTTTATTTATTTATTATTATTATTATTTTAATGCCGTGGACCTTTTGTCTTGTTTTCTTTCCTTTTTTTTTTCAATGAAACCTTATTTTCTCATAGAAAAAAAGTAATGGAGGCGACAGTTAAGAAGGAGCTTATTTATCTATTATTATCATTATTTTATCCATGAGTGTTTGTGCATGCTTACACACATCTTAATTAATCTCTTCGAATAACCGCCTATCCCTACTATATTTCATGGTTAGAAAACATGTAGGACTCTATTCTATATTAGTTGGCCACCATGGGATTTGAGTTCATTCTCCAAAATCTCTTTTACTTAGATCACTTGTCCCAATCAGCCTAACGGATGGAAATTTCATATTTTATGCAACGTGTCTTAGCATCTGCAATTAGATTGAAATTTTAATTTTAAGGATCTAAGTTTCATTATTGAAAGTGAGTTTTATATGTTGAAAGAGCTATAAGTAGACTCCACTTGATCTTAGGCTCTTAGAGGTCGAGTATACCCATAAACTTATTGTTTAGTTTTTTTGCAGCTTGTTTATGATTTAAATATTCCTGCAAGAGAATGATAGGGCATATCAATTATTTGGAAGTTTCTCTTAGCTAATTTCTATTGAAATGATCATAATCTTTTTTTAACAGGGTGGTGAAGCTAAATATCGCAAGGCTTGGGCACAAATATGTGAAATCAGCAGGAATGAATTTAATAGGGTGTACGAACGCCTTGGAGTTCAATTAGAGGAGAAGGTGCATTTTGGCTTTTCTTTTATATATTATACGTGATACTTGTTTTTGTTTATCCTCCTATAACATTTTACTCGTGTTCTGCTTGTTTTCCTTGTGTCCTTCCGCTACTTGTTTCTGTTGGGATTAGGAAAATCTTCCTTTTACTGTCAGGTCCAAGTTAGATTGTTTTCCTGGCTTAAGGTTTATTAGTGTTTACCACCATATTTATTAGTTGGAATAGTTAATTTACAGTTAATGGCATGACATCAACTACCAAACAGCATCAGCTTCTTTGTCAGGTTGAAGATCTTCTGTTCTATTGATATTATCTGCTACGTATGGATCTTAACTTGCAGAGTCATGAGTCTGCCACTCTTGATTTTAATATTGATCTGAAATACTGCCGACGGCTTATTCTCAGTTCTCATTTGGTCAAGGTCTTTTCATCTCTGTCAGGGAGAGAGCTTTTACAACCCATACATTCCTAATGTCATAAAAGAACTGACTGATAAGGGCTTAGTGGAAGAAAGTCAGGGTGCTCGTGTAATCTTTATTGATGGAATAAATATTCCTCTAATTGTTGTCAAGAGTGATGGTGGTTTCAATTATGCTTCAACTGATCTTGCAGCCATCTGGTCAGTTTTTCTCTAGCTCATCTTGTTTTTTAATACAACTATTCACTGTCACTGGCTATGAATAACTTGAAGGTTGACGCAGTCGTCAAACTTTATAATCAGTTATGACACATCAACATTGTGCATATTTGGATGCCCTCTGATCGATTGCATGATTCTCAAAATCTCGTGGAGCTGAATCATTCTGATTGATCATATTTTCTTGCACCAAACAGGTATCGCCTTAATGAAGAAAAAGCTGAATGGATTATATATGTCACTGATATTGGGCAGCAGCAGCATTTTGACATGGTTTTCCGGGTACGTGTCTCGAGCAATTCCTGCTCTGACATGATTTGTTTATCCTTCCATGTTTGTTGCATGTATGGTTATTTGCAGACCTGGTAGCTGGTCTTCTTAACTGTAGTTAGCAATTATTTAATGGATTGGTTGTTGTCTTACACTTCCTCTGTTTTGTTTGTGCATATGATAATTAACTACTGTAAATCCATCCATGAATTCGTTTCTCCTCTAAAAAAATTATTAATTACTGTAGACCTGGTCATCACATATCCACCAAACTACTGCTAACAATTATTTAATGGATTAGTTATTGTCTTATATTGGAAGGAATTATTGCTATTTTTTTCAGGCTTGTAAACGTGCTGGCTGGCTTCCACTTGAGGATAATAAGCATCCTAAAGCAACCCACGTTGGTTTTGGTTTGGTTCTTGGTGAAGATGGCAAGCGTTTTCGTACTCGAAATACTGAAGTGGTTCGTTTAGTTGATTTGCTTGATGAAGCCAAGAGCCGCAGTAAAGCTGCACTTATTGAGAGGGGTAATAATAATAAAGATTATTAAGACTAGTTTATTTGATCGAAAAAAAAATTGTGCAGCTTGCTGCTTTACCTTGTTAGATTAGTGGAAGTGACTAAGTTCGATTTATTTTTTCTTTATCAAACTTTTTACAGACTTACTGTCAACATTCCACATATTTTACTTTGTAATTTGATTTTTGATAACCTTCTTTAGAGAAAGCTGCAGAATGGACTGAAGCAGAACTTGAACAAATTGCTGAAGCTGTTGGTTATGGTGCTGTTAAGTAAGTTACCATTTTCATTACTGGCTATACCTTTTTATGCCTAATGCATGAATCCTAGAGGTTATCCTTGATGTTCCTTTCAATGAAAACCTTGAATGAGTCCTATTAATTGGTACCACTCATAATGGTCATCGCTATAACATGAAAATTTGATCTTGTATTTGTTGGGGGATATCTGAGAGGTTATGACTTTCTGTGTACTCAACTTGGGCTTCCCTACCAAAGAATTAAGCCTTTTCCATTAGTTGTAACTTAAAGCTGTTCTGTAATCTTCCAACCATGAGGGGCACAGGTTGGGCCTCTTTGTCTGTGCCTTCTTTTATAGGTGTCTTCTTGTCAATAAGTTTTCTTTTTCTTATTTAAAAATTTGTCTGCTTCATGTTTCTTCGTTCAAATGTTCAGAAACGCTTATTAAGACTTTATGTTCCTGAATTGTCTCGACAGATATGCTGACCTCAAGAACAACAGGTTGACCAACTATACGTTCAATTTCGATCAGATGCTCAATGATAAGGTACAATTTCTCATCTGGTTCTAGGCATGGAGTATAATATACAGAAAATTTAGTCAAACAACCTAAATGTAATTTTTTAAGCATCCACCTCTACTGCCTCTAAAGTAAAAGCTCCGTAGTCCACTTTCCATACACACCTAAATTTTGTGGTGACCAGGGTAACACTGCTGTGTATTTGCTGTATGCCCATGCTCGTATCTGTTCAATCATCAGGAAATCTGGTAAAGACATAGAGGAGTTAAAAAAAGTAAGTTTCCTTCTAAATCCCAGAACCAGTTCTTCTCAAGTCTTCAGTTGGACAAGACCAGCAGTTTTGCATTTGTTTCTTAATTTTTTTCAACTTTATTTTGATAGACGGGAACAATTGTGTTGGAGCACGAGGACGAGCGTGTTTTGGGGCTTCATTTGTTACAATTTTCCGAGGTAAAAACAAATATACATTTTAACTGGGTAACTTTGCCTCTGCGTCTGAACCATTTTATATTTTGTAACTTTGTCTGTACCTCGTGATAATTACTTTTCCTCCCTTTACTTTAGGTGGTCGAGGAAGCTTGCACCAATCTGTTGCCGAATGTGTTGTGTGAATACTTGTACAACTTATCGGAAATATTTACGAAAAAATTCTACTCCAACTGCCAGGTACGGCCTACTTCTCTAGACCAAAAGTCGTTCTTTATGCATAATATCATTGTCCCACTAATAGATGTTGGATAATCTCTAAACCACTAGCTCTTGTCAGCTGATAGCGTCGTGGCAGCTAATCATGCCTTGGTTTTCAACACATTTTCCTTCAATAACCTAGAATTTGAAGTTACTTTTTCTCGATCATTTTGTTTGGTTATGCCATTTGCATGAAGTCGTTTCTTTTCCCATCTTTGTGGTTATGAGCTGGAAAAAGGTCACTTAATTTGTACCCTTGTCCCAAATGCATCCAAGAAAAGATGCCGATGCCGCGGACGTCTTCTCGCAAACAAGTTAAAACTTCATTAATGTTGATCATATTTGTCAGGTCGTTGGGTCGCCCCAAGAAACGAGCAGACTCCTACTTTGTGAAGCTACTGGCACAGTGATGAGGAAATGCTTCTATCTCCTCGGAATAGTACCTGTCTACAAAATATAACCTCGAAACAGTGCCACTTCCCAGATCCTCTTCCATCTCCTTCGACTTGCGTTACTTCATTATCCTCCACTAATTGACATATTCTTGCCACATCCTTGCCAACATTAGAGTGTTGCAAAAAAGAATAGAAGAATTCATACCTAACATTATATTGTTTTAGTTTGTCAAATTTACCAGTTTTTCAACCATGTAGTTATTTCATCCGATGTAATTTTTCAGATTCAAAGACGAACAGATAAACAGCATTATTGATCACCCTAAAACAAGACAAATTAAATTAATATTTTTAAACTTCAACTTAAATTTATATGTACTTTTAGGGTGACTTCTTTATGTCGCATCAATCTATTGATTTTGTTTCTATATGTTTAAATGATTTCGATTAAGATTGGAAGATGGCAGTACCGTCCAGAAAACTTTAATAATCAAAACCTTTTTGAGTTAATTTGAACTGAACAATCCGTCATCCATGTTAGCACCTTAAAGCTCGCAAGTATTGCAAAATCATTGATCTACAATTGAAGGTTACCTTAGAAAAATAAGAAAGGGGGAAATTATGGCTTAGGGTTAGTAAAGAAAGCACGAATTCAAGCTTAATTCGATGGATACGACATCAATTATCTCGATGTTCGATTCCCACCTCACAATCGTTGAACTCGAGCAAGGAAAGTAATCAGTGGCCATTCACAGGGATTGCAGACCTTGAACCACAAAGCAAACTAGTTCTCCCTCTTGATCTTGAAGCTTTCTTGGCTATGTTGGCCCTTGGAATAATGGATTTATGACCATCAAAACTCTTGCAAGACTTGAACTTTTTTGTAATTGGAGACACCCTCTTAGCCAAATCTTCTAATCTTTCTACACTTGCTAGAGACGTAAAAGACTCTGATTTACCATCATAATATCTAGACAACCCTCTCCTGCAAAATAGCCATAAAATCAAAGCAAACCCCATTAGCAATCCATATATTCATAATTCTTTCAATCAAAATGTGAAAAAGGGGTTTATTCATCCCATAACTTACTTCATAGGAAGATGAACCATTAGCTCTGATAGCTCATAAAGAGGCCCATTTGAAGAACTCGTAACTGGAGAAACGGCATCTTCCACCATATCCAAAGAAGAAGAAGAAGAAGAAGAAGAAGAAGCTTCAGAATTCACACCACAATCTTCCGTGATCCATCTGCAACACCCATTATTCTGAGCTCCATCAACACCAAGCTGCTGATTTTCTTGCAATTTTCCCATTGGATAATCAATCCAAAACCAAAAGACAAAGAAGAAGAAAATGGGTATTGATAAAAATGGTTTCTTGCGACTATATATGGAGAATCGAAGCAGAAAGGAACGATCTTTTTTACTCTTTGTTGATAAAACTTTGAAAAAAAATAGAATGAAACAAGATCTTGTAACTGTACTACTACTATATGCTCCAAAACCTATTTATATATATGTGGAAACCATAGCTTATATTTATATCATTTCTTTTTGGTTTTATAACGAGATAGGCTTGGATAATATTCCCTTTTTTTTTTTTCTTTTTTTGCTGTTCTATCCAAAAACCCTTTATCATCAATTATCATCTTTTTATATTCATAAATTATTATCAAAATTTATGGGGCTGAGTTTTTTTTGCCTTTTCCCATATTACTAGGAAAGGAGATAAGATCTAAAGTTGGAAGACATATCCACAAATTGAATAATTCCCATGTTCTATATTCTTTCTCTCTCTCTCTCTCTCTCTCTCTCTCTCTCTCTCTCTCTCTCTATATATATATATATATATATATATATATATATATATGTGATTTCATAATATATGATATTGAGAATTGAAAATTGAGGTCAACATTAAGGTTACTTTTGCTTCATAAAGGCGTGACATTATAATGTTCATGTATCATCAACCTTCCATTGAGGAAGGATTGATTAAAATTTTGTAAAAAAGAAGATTAAAAGGAAGAAAACAGCCCACCCTTTTAGAATAATACACCTCTTTTTAAGATACCTTTTGTATCTATGGAGATTTTCTTATCTCCATCCCAATCAAAAGTGTTGCTAACATAATTGAAATCGTGCCCAATAATTAAAATTGTTAAATTATATTAATTTGATCTATAAATTTTAAATTTCATCGAATGGTAAAAAAAGGGAAAGACTTTTATACTTCTAAGGAAAGATAAACCGAAGAAATACAATTGGAATAGTTATATATTTCTCGTAATGTTTTAAAACAAGAACCAATAATACCTTCTTTGTCTCGACTATTTAATTTTTTTTAATTGGGATTTACTTAATTACTAAAGAAAAATATAATTAATTAATTAATTAAAAAAAAGGACAGAAGGGCACAAGTCACGATGGAAAATGGCGATGGTTACTGCAAACAGCCACCCCCAATCATTCTGTGTTTCTTATCCCCGCTGTCCCAATCTTTGTTCTTATCCATTCTGTCGTAGAATTTTGGCCCATCAGGCCCATTTAAATCTAATGGGCTGATACGCATGGCCCACTAACAATCTCACTTACGGATTTCTGTTACTGAGGCCCAGTTTTCTTGGGCTGATGTTGGGGCTTTTAATCCATTCCGTTTGTGATTTTTTCTCTCTCTTACATTTATTCAAATGAATAATATATAATTAATATCTAATATTTCCAACATATTATAAATGTCCAATCCAAATTTTTTCATATAAAGATTACTTTTAATCTTTATTTTTTTAATGGGTAAATACAGACCGTTACACGTAATTTAATTAATTAAATTATGCTCAAATTATCGGATAAAATAGTTTTTTAATATTTTTCAGGGGAAAAAAAATTAAACGGCACCGTTTGAGTGGCATGAAGTGAAATGTAGCGGTAAATATATAATCAGTGCGGAACAGACATGCTTGGCACCGGAATCGAGAATTCACAAAAAACAATTTTTCATAATTTCCACTGACGTCCGGTTCTTATGCTGACGCGCCCTTTCCGAGCTCGACACTCTCTTCAGTGGCTACGGCAGTACAATTATTCAGCTGATTTTGCTCTGTTTTGAACCTTAAACATAATATCGAGCTCTGTAGTCCTCACAAAGGCGTTGGTGTTCCAAACGTGAACCTTCAAGAATCCCTCATTCCCATATCTCTGCACAAACGGCGGCAGAGGAAGAGCGAGGCCAAGACGGTGTGGCTTTCAAGTGATGAGAAAAAGCAGAATGGGGAAAGGGCTTGGATTCAATCTCATCCTTTTCGGGGTTTTGCTGTTCATCATGCTCTTGGGTTTGTAGCTCTCTGTTTCTTCTTCTTCGTAAAACACTTCGATTTGGGATCACATTTTGCCTTACTTGCAGTGGTTTTGTTTGGTTCTACTTGTTGGATCTTCCTTTTCATTCGCGTTGTCTCTAATTTGAATTGCCCAATGTTTTGGGGGTTTCTCCGTAGAAGTGCACAATTTAGAACTTCTTAGCTAGAGTTTGAAGATCAAGTTGTCACTGCTAGGACCAACAACATTCAGTTTTGAGACAATCTAGGAATTGGCATTAAATGGTAATTTTGGCTTTTGATTTTGTCTTCAAAGGAATTGTCTTCTCTATCCAACTGAACTAAACTAACTCTTACTCTGAGCTATTTAGGAAGATGTCTGTATGCTAGGATTGATAGAAATCATAGAATAGATAATGGGATTGGAGCTCCCTGCAAGTGCATTGTAAGACAACTCGTGTTTCGGCATCATGGTTTTCGAAGGAATGAACTGTAACAGCTCAGGCCCACCACTAGTAGATATTGTCCTCTTTGGATTTTTCCTTTCGGGCTTTCCCTCAAGGTTTTTAAAACGCGTATGATATGGATAGGTTTCCACACCCTTATAAAAAAAGTTTTTGTCCCACAAGGTTTTTAAAACGCGTATGATAGGGAGAGGTTTCCAATTGATGTGAGATCTCACAATGACACCATGTGGTGTGCCAGCGAGGCGCTAGGCTCCAAAGTGGGTGAATTGTGAGATCCTACGTAAATTGAAGAGAGGAACAAGTATCAACGAGAATGTTGGACCTTGAAGGGTGGTGGATTGTGAAATCTTACATCGATTGGAGAGAGGAACGAGTACCGAAGAGAACGTTGAGTCTCGAAGAGGGTGGATTATGAGATCCCACATCGGTTGGAGAGGGGAACAAAACATTTTTTATAAGGGTGTGAAAACCTCTATCTAGCAGACGCGCTTTCAAAACCCTGAGGGAAAGTCTAAAGAGGACAATGTATGTTACTGTTACTTGAACCCTTTTGGTAGGCAATAGGTTATGGACCGTTGTTCTTGTATTCATTGATGATCATGCGTGTTTTTCGGTTGTCGGATTCATCGTTCTTTCTATTCATATACTTGAAATAACGTTGTACATTTCATGAATTTGGTTACAGGCCATTGCCAGGGAAGTAAAGTTGGTGTTTGCTATGGAAGGAACGCAGACGACCTCCCAACACCTAATAAAGTGGCTCAGCTGGTCCAACTTCATAACATCAAATATCTTAGAATCTATGATTCAAACATTCAAGTTCTCAAGGCCTTTGCCAACACTGGTGTTGAACTTATGATTGGGGTTCCGAATTCAGATTTGCTGTCTTTCGCTCAGTTCCAGTCTAATGTAGACTCTTGGCTGAAGAACAGCATACTTCCTTATTACCCAGCTTCGAAAATAACGTACATAACGGTTGGTGCCGAGGTCACCGAGAGCCCCAACAATGTGTCTTCCTTGGTGGTGCCTGCCATGAAAAATGTACTCACTGGTCTCAAAAAGGCTGGTTTGCACAAGAAGATAAAGGTTTCTAGCACTCATTCCCTTGGCGTTTTGTCTCGGTCGTTTCCTCCTTCGGCTGGTGCTTTTAGTAGTAACTATGCATTTTTCCTGAAGCCATTGTTGGAGTTTCTTGCTGACAACCAGTCTCCCTTTATGATCAATATCTATCCTTATTATGCTTACAGAGAATCCCCCAGCAACGTGTCGCTAGACTATGCTCTTTTCGAGTCATCATCCGAAGTTATTGATCCGAATACTGGTCTGCTTTACACGAACATGTTTGATGCTCAGATTGATGCTCTTTATTTTGCTTTGATGGCTCTAAATTTTAGAACAATTAGAGTGATGGTCACAGAAACAGGCTGGCCATCTAAAGGGTCGCCAAAGGAGACGTCTGCGACTCCCGACAATGCTCAAACTTACAACACGAATCTTATCCGCCATGTTATCAATAATACAGGGACACCTGCAAGGCCTGGAGAGAAACTAGATGTATATATCTTCTCTTTGTTCAATGAAAACAGGAAGCCGGGGTTGGATTCTGAAAGGAACTGGGGATTGTTCTATCCAGACCAGACCAGTGTCTACAACTTGGACTTCACGGGAAAGGGCGCGGTTGACGCGTCTACACAGGCTAATAGTACCAGCTCGAATAGAACTGCCTGGTGCATAGCTTCAAGCAAGGCTTCTGATATGGACTTGCAAAACGCCTTGGATTGGGCATGTGGTTCAGGTAATGTCGATTGCACAGCCATTCAGCCAAGCCAGCCTTGTTTCGAACCAGATACTCTGGTTTCCCATGCATCTTATGCATTTAACAGCTATTTCCAGCAAAATGGAGCCACTGATGTTGCTTGTGGATTTGGAGGGAATGGAGTTGAAGTTAACAAGGACCCAAGTAAGTCACGATCGCATTTCCGGAGCATACGTCATATACTTCAGTGTTGTACCTCCGTTACACGGTTAACACAATTGAAATCTTCGTTTTGTGTTCTAATCTCTGTTTCGTGTTACTAGTTGAAAGACTTTTTAGATAAAATGTTAAAACAAGTGTTCCTAACTCGAATTTGTACGTTGACTTTGCAGGCTATGATAATTGCTTGTATGCAACTATTGGGTAAGCCTTTACTTTTGTTTCCAAGTTCATAGATTTTGATTTCCAGTTCCTGATGTTCTTTGCCTTTCCCGTGTTTCTTACTGTCAAGCAGGAAGAACAAGACGATCTCTTCCAGTAACACGACGGCAATATCCTCAACTTCCTCATCTTCTACATCAAGGATTGAAGTTTCTGCAGGTTTACCTATTATCATGGCCTTCATATCATATTTTTTGTAAATTTCATGAGAAGGGTCGGCCAGATTTTGCTATGCAAATCGTGTATGTAGTGTCTGTATGATAAGAATGTGTCTATTTATAAGGAGGTCAATGAAGATAACGGTCTGAAGTCGATTGAATTGGTGAAAATCGTACTGAATAAGTATTGCACTTACAAAAATTAAAAAAAAAGAAGATATCTCTTTATAAGTGTAGAAACACTTATAAAACCGTCCAAGAGTATGCTTGAACCGTTATATACATGTATATAAATCAACCAAAAAAAAATTTATAATCTGGTATTTCTAACAAGAAAGATTGGAACCGTTTAGATTTTATTTGATTATGGAGTTCAGAAGCAGTATCTCAA